GATTCCTGCAGAATGCGGCGGGAAAAGTGCTTCTTTTCCTGCAGAAGACTTTCACTTCCCGCGTGAAAATGTTTCATTTTTCCCCCAGGAACTTGCGGAATCACGCTCGTTTTTTTTCACTGGGTAAGATGCTACAATAACATTAACATCATATCCTCTTGGTGGCTCGTCACACTTTGTCCTTTCTTCTGAGTTTAATAATACTTTTGTCGATTATTTGAGCTCCCTTAATCGTCATTGAGATTACGCTAAATGCAACTGAAATAATCTGCTTTCAGACATATCAAACATTGATTCCTTCTTTTTCAATAGTAGTAATCTGACGTGCACACATTTCATCCTGTGTGATCGCCTTCAGCTTTACACCTTTTTCCAAAGCAGATATAGCGAATCTTTAATTGAGAAACGATATTGCTTGTGGACTTGATGAGATTCCAATTACTTAGCTAAAATAAGGCGCATGGAAAGTGGCATTAATTAATCCCAGGCAGAAAAATAATCAATATTCCTTTTATCCTTAATCAGTAAGATTTTTCAAAGGTTTATTTACAATTAATTTGTTAAACATCTAAACGAAAACAACTTTTTCTCTAATAAAAAAACCAATTCAGTTATCGCCCCAAATCTTTTCCGTTAGGTCCTCTTGCTTACCTGTTGCATAAGCCTATGGACAATCTGAACCAAACTAATCTGGTTGATACTGTTTTAGGAACGTTTAATTTAGAAAAGGCGTTCGGTAGCCTACCATTCCAGGTGCTGCCCATCGACTATCTTCTTTAAAGCTTTTCACTAGTGCTCTTCAATGATTCTTTAGCTACTTAAGTGAGAGAAGACAACGTAAGAGAGAGCACTTCTCTCTCTAAATCCTTTCGAGTGACTGCTAGAGTACTTCAGGGCTCAATTCTATAGATTCTGGATAAATTACTGTCAAAAGTGTCACTATCGGCTCATTCCATCCTCTTTGCTGACAACTGTATATGCTGTCTCGTTTCTGTCTCACATTCGCTATCTGACCACCAGGCTAATATTGATTATATTAATGATTGATGGTGTTTAGGTAACCTAATGTCATCACAGTGGGGGACTTTAGCATGAGCAGGCGGACATGAGGTTTTTTTTGCTCAGAAACGGCTTTCATTTGACTAGAAACGACAGTTTATCACTCAGAAAATCGTTTTTAAGAAGATAAAAGGGTTTTTCAAGAAAAAAAGTTTTACGAAAAAATATGGCTGGGGCGACCCCAGCTTTTTTCCAAAAACTTTTTTTTTTGAAAAATGTGTTGAGCTATATATCTCAGTAGTATAGCTATATATCTCAATAGTATATCTCAATAATATATCGTTCGATGTAGTTTAATGCGCTGATTTCGAACCTTGGTTTTACTTCAAAGTGTAATATGAATGCTTAAAACTGGATTTTTGGTCAAAAATCTGTGATTTGGGGAAAACCTCTAAAATTCACTTTCACGAAAATGACACTTTTTATATGTAGTCCAATGCAGTTTGACGACCTGATTCCGAATATGACCTTGGTTTTTCTTCAAAGTGTAACACCGGTGCCTAAAACCGGATTTCCGACCTGAAACCTTGAGTTTTTGGACATCCTGTAAAATACCCTAAGAAAGATTTCACGAGTTTTTGCATCTACCATACGTAGGATACATATGTAGCAGCTTCTGGTCAAAATTTGAGCCCGAACGGACGTTATTCCTTTGTAGCGTTTAGAATATACGGAAAGGTATGATTTTGGGCCCGGTTTACCGGTAAAAGTCAGCCGAAAATTTCTTGAAAAACTATTGAATATATATGATTCGATGCAACTTGACCAGTTGATTCCGAATGTCATCTTAGTTTTTCCTCAAAGTGTAACACGGGTGCCTAAAGCCGGATTTCCTACGTAGAGACCTCGAGTTTTTGGACATCCTGTAAAATGGCCTAAGAAAGGTTTCATGAGTTTTTGCATCTACCATAAGTAGGATACATATGTAGGAGTATGGAGTAAAAATGTGCGCTCGACCGGACGTTACTCTTTTGTAGCGTTTACAATGTACGCAACGGTACGTTTTCAGATAGGTTTGTGGGGCTCGACATACTTTGTTTTCTACTCTGTTTTTAATTGGATTACGATAATTTTTTTTATCATAAAGTCCATAAATGAACAAGTTTTTTGCGATATTGTTTGCTTCTGGAATATTGTGTTGTATTGCCGAGCGGCTTGACTTTCTTCATTTATGCCGATTTCTGGCTCCAGGTGCATCACTCAATGTCGCCGAATACTTCTGGATGTTTGACTTCAGTAGTCCAGAAAAATCTGACAATTATCAGTTTTCTTTGTCAAAGAATCCTAATGAGTCGAGTTATACATCTAACCCTGTCAGGTCTCAAAATAAGCTACAATTTGAGATGGGTTCGACATGTAGAAGACTTATCGCTTTGACTTTTGGTGTGTTCACCTTCAAATCTATAAAACTTGTATTTTCAATAAGATGGACTATGCATATGAAATATATGATGGTGACTTTGCAAATAACAGTTCTCGTCTAGAATGTGTTCAACGTTTAACGACGTACAGGATTTGATCTTATTAACAAATTAAACTTCTCTCCGCCTTCGGTGAGACGTAAATATTCCGTCAACCGACGTTTGAGCGACCGACATTTGAGGGACTCCGACATTAGACACTTTTCAATATGACTTTTTGCTGATCAGGAAAGTCGAATGATTATTCACTTCGATAACGATTAATAACGACGATGAGAACAATCTTTATGAACTGAATTATTTGGAGATCTGTAGAGTGTAAGGCTGTGTAGGGTAAGGGTGAATGGAGGTGAGGGTTAGCGCGGGTGCGGTTTAGTGGGGGTGAGGGTGAGCAGCTATAAGTGATGCGCTTCGCTCAATTGTTGGAGTTCTTCAAATGCGGTCGCTCAAATGTGGGCGCTCAGATGGCAGTCGCTCAAATGTCGGGGTCGCTCAAATGTCGAGTCGCTCGAGTGTCGACGCTCAAATGTCGGCGCTCAAATGTCGGCGCTCAAATGTCGGTCGCTCAAACGTCGATTAATCAAATATTCAATTAATTACCAAAATAAAAAACAAACAAACACCTCTTTGACTCTCAATTCTATCTATTATACTTATGGGAAAAAAGTTATATATCGGTTCATATTGTATCGCTGCTAGAAAAAATTCAATTGTTTTTAATTCAGTTGCGAAACATAAAAAAAGACAGTAAAGCTGAAAATTTTGTCTCATGAAAATCGTTTTAAAAGTGTTAAAACCGACATATTTCTAGGTAACTTGATGAGTCCTATTCCCAACCATATGTAAAGAAAACAAAAAAAAATTGTTTGCCGCAAATTAAATTGCCGCTACTTTAAAGAAAACTCAATTTCACTCGAATTTAAAATCATTATTTTGAATAGACTAAAAACTTTGGCTATAGGCGTCAAAACAAAGCGAAATTAGACACAAATTTTCACTTGATCCGTTCAAACAATTGTAAAAGTTTTAAGTTTGCATGTTTTTAAAACTTCTATATTTTGCGTATTAACTTTTTTAAATTTCGTTTTAATTCACACCTTGAACAAAGTTGGATATTTGTAACTCAACGTTAAGTAAATTGCGTCCACTTTAGTAAAGACTGGTAACTGTGTGACATGTCGCTGAAAATTATTTTTTAAAAGAGTAAATTGCGCTACGATCGCAATTCATTCGTTTTCGTTTCCTGGAAAATCTAGTAATGCGTAAAATAAATAAAACACATAGACATATTCAAATAGTCTAAACTAACAGCTACAACTTTATCATGAAAAGTCTTTTATGACTCACCTACAAAAATACAAATGCACTATTTTTATTCCGTAATGTCTTTATCAACTCCAAATGAAATACCATCATATTTCAGTCACATAGAAAACAAGAAGATCTGTGAACTAAGAAACCTCAACGAACGAGAGAGGAAAACTTTATATCACAAGTTTTAGACTGATCCAATATAAATCTATGTTAAGAATCTGTGAGTTTATTTAATTGAGCAAAATTCCACCATCGTTTCCATTTTCCTTTTATTAAAATAAATAATAAACTAAATAAATAAACAAACTATTTATACAAGAAATTAACAAGATATTTTAGAAAAAGCACAAAAATGTGTTTGTAAACTCGCTTCCTGATTATATGATATTTTTTGAGAGAAAAAATTATTTATGATTCTTGTCTGAAATGGATGAACGTATAGATTTGGCTACTTTTACTGCGACGAGACCGGCCAATACACCCACTAGAGCAGCACCAGCAGGTTTTAAATGCTTAAAATTAATTCCATCATCATCTTTTCGAATTTGTTGTAAACGATCACGAATTTGTTCCGAATAGCCTGGTGGACGAACTGGTGGCGTATAGGAGGCACCAAAACGTCGTTCAATAATGTCACGAACAATAAAATTAGTTGGTAATGAATCAACGTTATTATTGATTAAATTTGATGGATGACGACATTGAGGACATTCGATTCGATTTGATGAAGAAAATAGATGAGCATTTGTTCGTTGATAATTGACCAAACAATCAGCTATAAATGAAAGATAAACAAATTTGATATAATCTTAGTCTTTCAACCTGGCATGTGAAACGTCTTCTTTTTTTGAAAAATCTTTTCCTTCTCCTTTTTCTCCGTTTGACCATAACTTTTTTCCTTCTCTCTTATCCGCGATTTTGGTTTTAGATATACCAGAAGCAGTGAAAAAGAGAATATGATGGTCAAATGTAGAAGAAGGAAAAGAAAAAGATTTTTCAAAGAAAGAGGACGTTTCACATGCCAGCTTTCAACGTACAAGCGGAAAAATTCCATTATAGTATTCTAAATTAAAACTATTGAAAAACATACAATATCAATTTTTCACGATTAAAGACTGCAGATAAAAAATTCAATACAGCACTGCCAAGATCTACCGTTAAATAAAAAAAATTGTTTTTCTTACCGCAAAAGGTATGTTGACAGTCCATCACTTTTGGATCACGAAATGTATCTAGACTAGAAAGAAAATACACGTACTAGTTATAAAATATCTGAAAAAAACTTTCTATTTTCATTACCAGATTGGACATTCAAGGAGATCATCAATAGATGATGATGAAGGAGCCAATGGAGCAGATGGTGCAATATTTGCAGAAGCCATTTACTAGAAAAAAAGCCAACAAAATGTTAGAACTGATTATAGTTTTACTTTCAAGATAAGTACTTACTTTGACAAACAGAAAAATAACGATGAAAAAAATATGGTTTTATCTCGTTACGAGTTAGAAGATTGAATCTAAAATACGAAAATTTGTGCTAATCACAGTCAGAACCATAGGTTATACATTGCCTCGAATATGAATGTCTCCACTGTGTATAATAAATCAGAAAAATGGCACTAGTGGACAAGTATTTCAAAACAAAGACAAACGAAATAAATTTTAATAAATCAGATTCTTCTTAACACAATAGAAGATTTTTATGAATGCAAACAATTGGAACACAATGCATACGAGTATCTGACAAAAAATGGCTTACAATCATAGAAAATAAATAAATATACAAGATGCACGATATGTTTTTATATCACTAAAAGTAGATATTTTCCTTGAAAAACAAAGACGAAAAATGAGGTTCGAGCGAGGTTCGAACTCGCGGCCTTCTGCGTGTAAAGCAGACGTGATAACCGCTACACCACCGAACCACGAAAATAAATGCCGTCATAATTATATAGAAAGCTGAAACTCATCTAGCAAATTTTATAGTTTTGTTGTGATGATTTGCCTAATAAACTTGTTAATTTATGTCGAGAATTGAAAAACTGTGACTTTCTCTTAATAGGAAAAAGGTTGATTTGTATAATCGAGTCACATTGATTTAACTGACGATGACGTTGGATTTGATGATTTTTGAATGTTAGTCTAGATGATAATTAAGTCAAATCAAAAAATAATCAAAGAAAGAGCAGTAGTAGAGCTGCTGAACAATAAATCACTCATATGCACTATAGTTGCATCGATTCTATCTTCTTCATTTTCGTTCTTGTCATCATCTTCAACGCTTTCCTATGAATTTTGTTGAGTTAAATTCATTTCAGCAACTTAAGAACAAAAGAAAAGGAAAAAGTCATTGTGTGAGGAATCTTTATCAGTTATATGTACCTGAAGAAAAGGCATCGGGATATTTTTTGTTTAATCGTGTTTTCAGTACTCTAAAAATAAAGAATAAAATTAATGCGTAATTATTTTTACTATACAAAAAAACCACTCGATAAGAACATAGAAATCTTCATAAGTGATGAGATACTGCATTGAATTAACGACAAAAATCTAATTATACAGATCCTTTTAAAGATTAAAAATTAGATATCAAAAGGAGAAAAACATTGTAATAGTGCTCACTTAATTCGTGTAAATATAAGATCAAGGTCTATCTTCATTGTTGTAAGTAATTGTATATGACCTGAATAATCTTTCATTGCATCTGCATACCGCTTCGCTGATAATTTATTGATATCATCCAGTTTCTCATTCATTTCATCAAGTTGTTCTAGCCTAAATAAACCACAGTATAAAAAAAATAAACTTTATAGAATCTGATACTTACATAGTGCGTTGTACAGTCAAAAGTTCATTTATATCTTGATTGTTGATTTCTTTAAGAAATAATTTAGCGAACGTCATAGCTTCTACTGGATTAATGTCTTTCATCGACGATGATGGATTTGACACAGATGTAGACATATTTGGAATAGTGAACGATTCTACAGAGATCGATGTAATTTAGTAGAAAACTGATTCTGAAATATATCATAATAAAAGGATGGTGCAAAAAATGAAATGCCTAATCCATCGGAATAAAATAAGTCAGATTTTCAAGGCTTGATCTTATTAGGTATGAAAAAATTCTCGTTTGGTCGTCATTTACACTCGTTATTACTTCAAAAATAAAGTATGCATCGTATAATTTGTGAAAATTGTTGACTTTAAATACTTTTTGAACTTCTTTCTTTCTTTATTAATGACTAATCCCTGAACATTGAATCAATCGCTCTTGTGATTCATCTTGCTGAATTTTTTTCTATTGGAGAACAACAGTGATGAATCATATAAACTAAACACTCATTTGTCTATCAAATATCATACATACTGATCTGATTTTGTTTTACGGTAACAGCTATAGCGATAAAAAACAATTTGACTAACAAAAGTGCGATTAAGCAGTTTGAGAGCCATTGTATGCATTATTTATAGAGAATGGATCATTTTCAGTTCACTGTCTTAGTAGCTAGTAATCTTTTATTTTAATTTCAAAAAGCTTGTGATTTTGACAATACAATTTCATTTTAAGAAAAACTGCTATGTACGTTTAGCAAAAGCAAAACATCTTCCAATTATCGAAAACATAATCTAATGGTTGAGTTAGACGTAGATTAAAATCATCTGTTACACGTTATACCGTTCTGTTGAGTCTTTGATATTTTAAATTTTTTCGACCTAGAATATGTACTAGCATGTAAACGTTTAATATCATGTTGAACTAAGGCATATTGTGCTTGAGGTATTTCAATCAATCGCCATACAGTCGTATGTATTTGTAGTAGACCAAAGAGAGGGTCATTTTTATGTCGTTTATGTCGATATAATGTAGATCTGAGACTTTAAAAACTCGGTAGTGCAGCTGCTATTTGTGGATCAGTGATGGCTTGACTAGATGGTTGCACGCAGCGTATGGAAGTTCATTCTGACATCTATTTTTGCCCCGTTTCGCAGCTATAGTTAGAGCCAGTTTTAGTAAAATGACATTTGAAAAACGCACAAACCTCAAACTTTATAAGGGCAACTTCTCTATTAACGCTTCATCTGATTAATGTCGTTCCTTCGGACTTTTCGTTCTATTGTGTAGATGTGCTCTTTCAGCAGACGAGAAATTGTACGAGTTAGCGTTCGAGAGATATACCAAAAATGCTGATTTTTCCCACTATATTTCAGTCTGTTTGTACTCTTACTCATATGCGCAGAAAACGATAATTAAATGATCGTCGACTACGCAATTGATATTGTTAGATTGAATGAATCATAATTCTCCCAGTACTGTTGTGTGTAGTGTGAATGTGCACACTACAGTCAATATAGGTCCACAATGTTTGTTTGCAGTCTATACACTGAAATTATAAAATGTTATTCACTTATTATGCCATCTAAACACCGTCACCAAAAGTTATTGAATACTAATTATCAAGAAAAACGTGTTCGCAATGTCTGCACTGTTCCTAAAAACACAGCAAGCAAAAGTAGTTTGCAAGTAAATAGCATGGAAACTGTGCAAAATGTACCTAGAGAAATTCAAAGTTTAGAAAATGATTATGAAATAACCGTTATCGAGCAAATAACATCTGTTTTGGGCAATAACGTTACTCAATATATTATTTGTTGAGAATGTAACAAAATCATTAACTCCTTCTGTAAGGTACACGTTTATAACACATGATTTTACTGCGCACAGGTTTCAGACAGAAATGGATCTTTAGCGAGACAGAGGCGGATCTACCTGGATCTTATTCATATCAGCAATGAGTTTTGAAAGTGTCAGATCATATAAAGGAAATAAAAATGAACCACCAACACCAACAACGGTACGAAATCTTGTTATTTCGGATAAATACGGAAAGTTTTTAAAGCTTTGAAATTAAAATAAAAGATTACTAGCTACTAAGACAGTGAGCTGAAAATTTTATTACACGCAGTTGGGGGAGAAGTGTCATTATCTTTTTGAAAGATATTTCGTTGCTCTTTAAAACTCTTTAAGTCAGAGGGGAACCAATATATTGTAACAAACTAGTATACTCCCAAGATAACGGCTTGAGTGTTATAAAACTTCAACTCAATCAGATGAAATTTCGATGATCTAGTAGAATGACAATTTAAGCTCGCTGGAAGAAAAACACAAAACAAAAGTTGGAATATGTATATCTTGAGACTGGAAGCATATTTTACAATGAAATTTAATATACAAGCTCTACCCAGCTATAGTGGCAGATTAATGGAGAAGAGACCGATCGCTTCCTTTTTTTTTGTGCCCTTTTTTCTTCTTGTCGCAAGCACTTCTGGAGCCTCCTTCCAAAAGATGGTGACCAAAAAAGTTTTTTTTCAAAAGTCGTTTTACACTAACTCTGATACACTCTTGAAAAATGCATCTCTCCCCAAAAAACTTTCAAATCCGTCACTATACAACTATTCACTTTGAGGATAATTCGGTTCGCTACTTTCCTCGCATTTTTTTTTTATATCTGGAGTTTAACAGTTTTTCTCTACATATTGATTTTCCACCTTATAGGCTACGAGTAGTTTATTCACGAACCGTGAAGATCATCAAAATCATGGATCTGTAATGACAATAACTCAAGTCGAACAGAGTAACGATAACAGACGAAAGAAAGACTAGAGCAAAAGACAGAAAGAACTAACGAGAAAACGTATCTAACTGTTCAATCGGTTTTTTCACCAAACCTAGTGTGTTGTAGATTATCGTCCATGCAGATTCCGAATATCCATATGGGACGGGCTGCTAGGCCTTCATAGTGCGGTCTTCTGAAAAACCAGTTTTCCAGAATTCGCGGGCTACAATCATGATTTATTAAGAAAAAGTTTCAGAGATTTTTTGGGATTTCTGGAAAATAAAAATAAATAAAAAATAAATAAATACAAGAATTCACGATGGACTGTTGCAAATGACTGCTAAATTTATGGTACAAGATACTGAGGTAGGGCATTTCTGAAAGACAATAATGAAGTAGAACAAATTACTGATGCTGGAAGTTTGTTCCAGTCAGTGATAGTAGAATGGAAAAAAGAAATTCTTGAATGGGAAAAACCATTAACAAGAGGTGGTATACGGACATATGAAGGCGTAAAGAGGAATAGTATGGTCAATAGACTGGATAAAAAGTCGGAAGAGCACTCATTCGGTGATAAATTTTAAAGACGGTACCAGCTGAAAATATTTACGACGAAGTGACAGATTTGGGAGAGACAGTTGTGACACAAGTAAAGAGCTAGAAGAACGGTAGTGATAGTCAACATTTTTTCTAATCTTGTTTGTCCACAAGCAGTGCGAAGTCTCCTGCTAAACTGGGTGTTCCGCTTCGGTGAATGGAATATGACAGCTCTCAAAAGAATCGTTTTACGGCGTGAACTGTCGACACAAGCAAAGCCGGTTATTTTCAAAGTTTATTTAGTCGTCTTCCTATTCTACGGAATTTTTTATTTAACACTTCCTATTATCTGCTCTTAGTGTTCATCAAAAGCATTAAAAACACCCCGTGCTTCTTTGACACGTTGACTGCCGTAGTAAAAGAAAAACAAAGCCAAATGTATCACCGATGATGCATTGGCAGTCAACGTGTTAATAAAAAAAACGGAAAATTTCTCAATAAATAACTTCTGATTGGTCAATCGACCATTTTATGTAGAAGGTTAATCTACTGAAAATTCCTCAGTAGCTTAACTTAACGAAAAATATGTGAGTTTTCAGCTGTTTCTATCGTTCTTTCTTTTGCATGAGTCATTCATCTTCTACTAATCACGTCATCACTCCTATCCTCGTTCGTTTTCTGGCCTATCAGGTGCATTTAGGCTCCTATATTCTGCAAAATGTCAGTGAGTGGTTCTAAGTTCGACTAATCAGTAAAGTGTAAATGCTAACAGATTGCTACGCTACGCTGTCTGGACTTCGAACGTATTGTCATATCCAATCTCCTGTAGATAATAAAAATTCTGGAGGATGCTTGTAATGAAAACAAAATTGGAAAACTGAGAGCTCTTTTTTTTGGTTGACATGTCTCCCCTTGATCCTGACCATGTATCTGCGTCTGTAGAAAACATTATACATAAGAAAAATCACCAAAATACTTCTCACTTTCACACAAGAGAAACACACCGCACGTTCATTTTTTCTCACAACAACAGTTAATGTTACCGTTGCATGATTCATCAAACTTCAGAGAAAAGATGAATTTTGCTACTTTTTCTACATTGTTTTCTAGATGGTTATCTGAAGAAATAAATGATACACAAAAGAACAAGTGGTGGAGGAACTCACAGTGGTGGCGATAACGAAATGTTTCTGAAACGTGCGTTAGAAAAAATTTTAAGTGAAAAGGATATAAAACGTGCACAACATGCACAATTAAAAAAGGCATGCGAAACGGCACTGTGTAAGTTAATTAATCCTTGAATTGTTAAGACTTTGATATCAGTTTTATGTTAAATATTTTAGCTGAAGTTACAAAGGAAATTCAAAATAACCGGTAAGTTAACGAAACTTTACACTAGCAACAATAAAAATGTATATTGTAATTCTAGTGTTAGTGAATCTTCTGTTTTACCATCTACAGCAGCTCAACGGTCAATAGTTAATGCTGAAAAATATTTTTTACCGTTTGAACTGGCATGTGCGTCACATCATCCACGGATGGTAGAAACATCACTCGATTGCCTTCAGGTATGAAATAGAAAACATTAATATTCATTTTCTTTAAAAAAATTGTTTTTATTTCATTTTAGAAACTTCTTCTACATGGTCATCTAATGGGAAGTATTCCAGATCCAATGGATGTATCAAAATTGCTTATTGACCGTATTGTATCAACAATATGTTTATGTTTTCGTGGCGTGCAGACTGAAGAGCAAGTCGAATTGCAGATTATTAAAGTACGAACAACATTATACGTTATCTTTAACTTAATGAATTTTTTTCTTAATGTATAATGTTTTAATGTTTATAGGCATTATTAACAATTATGACATCTCAAACAATTGAAATTCATCAGAAAAGCGTTTTACAAATAATAAAAACATGTTTTAATATCTATTTGACGAGTAGAAGTAAAATAAATGAAGCAACAGCACAAGGAAGTTTATCTCAAATGTTAAATGGAATATTTTCAAAAATGGAGCAAAAAATGGTATATATATTACTTTTTTCAATAGTAAAAACAATATATTTAAATTATTTTGATTAATTTAGTCTTTGTTAAATGAAAAAAGACGACAGCTTGATAATCGATCAACAACTCAGCAACAACGGCAACGCCAGCAACCACAGGATGATAATACAAATATATCTGAGTTATCATCGTCTTCAACAATGAAAGCAAATGAGGAAGAAGCGATCTCTGGTAATTGTCTTATTTTCAACTATTCATTCTATTGTCCGATATACAAGAACAATTAGTGATCGATCTCAATTCTGAAACAAACGGTGTTTTTCTATTCTAGAATCGAATGTGATCGAAGATGACTTAGTTGTTAAAGAAATTCTTGACGAACTGGTAGAAAAAATATGTTACGGTAAGTCTTATGGGCTAATTACTTTTATTTATGATTTATGCGTACTTTATTGTAGATGAAGCTACGCAACAACAAAGAAGCACCGATTTATCAACAAATGAAATTATTGAAGAAGCTCAGTCAGTGCACGAAGAAATTTTGTCGATAGCACCAATTTCGTCTGCAAATTCTCTTTCTCATCGTAAAGGTACGTTTGTTAGTTTTTAAAGCATTTAATATCAGTCAAATTTGTTTTATCTATTTTAGATTTAGAATCAAGTGGAGAAATAGAAACGACCATGTCCACTTCTCTTTCAGCTGACGAATTATCAGTGGATAATTATTTTAAAAATGCTTTTTATGTCTTTCGAGCCTTATGTAAACTATCTGATCGAGATATTAAAGATAAAACAAATACAGATCCAAGGTAACGATTAAATGACATTTATTTAATTTTTCTTAATAATAAAGAGTTTATTTTAGAACAAATCTCGATTTAAAATCTCGTATATTTTCATTACGTTTAATTATGCAAATATTACAAACATCTGGACCAACATTTCGTACGTCCGAAGATTTTTTAAATGTAATTAAAACATATTTGTGTGTATCATTATCAAGAAATGGTGTATCAGCTATTCCAGAATTATTTGAAATGGCTTTGTATAATTTTGTAGAATTACTTGATAAATTTAAACAACATTTAAAAGTTCAGATTGAAGTAAGTCCTTTTTCGATGTTAATCAATCGATATCTTATTCATAGTTCATTGTACTTATAAATCATGCTTAGCGTAAGAAAAATATCTGAAATTTGGCTGAACGTTATTTTATTTTTTCAATACTTTTTGTGTGAGCGATATTTATGTAAACTTAGAACGTTTTTTTAAGCTCTAATTTTAAACTTATCGTGTAGACAGCACTTGATTGTATAGGTGAACGCTTACATCCGGTCTTATGAAATGACTTCTTTAAGTTTATGATCAAATTTAAAATTGAGACAAAAAAAATTCAAACAAACACATGATTATGTGCCATAGCAATGTTTTGTTAATAACTCACTCATTTTTAAAGTTATCAAATTATTTTTTTAACTAGAAGATAGTCCTGAATTTCAACTACAAATTCAATCGAAAGACAAGTTTACCATCATGAAATAATCTAGAGAAATTTTCATTTTGATGAATTCGTCTGAAAAAAGAGTGAGTCGTTACTGACGTCTATTTCCCTGACAAGACACGAATCATTCAACAAATAGACTTGAAATTTTACACGTAAGATAACTTGATTGGCTGACATATTTGTTGAGAATTTAAAGTCTTTAGCACCGATCGCTCTCGAGACTACACACGTTCAAAGTTCAAAAATAGACTGTGCATTACCTGCGATTTTTATGTTAAATATTTTAAATCTATTCTAGTAGATATAGGCGTTAATATTCAGTATCATAAGTCTTTTCTCAATAAGAAATACACAACATTGATTCGAAACTACACTTCACTGTAGTGGAAACATTTTTTTTTCTACTTTTATATGACACCTATTGGACAAGGGCGTAAGAACATTTTGAAAACTTTTAATTGAAAAAAATTTGTTTTTCTCTTACTATTATCGTTGTTCGATGTATCATTAGTTTTCTTTGATAAAGATTGAATCATCAAATGTATGTCTGTATATCAATATATTCGAGTAGTTTTATCATTCTCGACGTTATTACTACGATTAGTATAAGTCATATTACTCATTTTTTTATTTATTTCTAGTTTTAAGTTTAATTTATCGCCTCTATTTATACTGTCCTCAAGTGAATTTGTCGAACAACGATTATCTGCATAATTTAATGATCGATCGGAGAGAACAGTTAGCGGAGGATTAAGTGATTTTGGCAATGATGTTTGTTTATTTTGAAGTAATAAAGGATACGATTGAAATAAATTATCGTTACTTGATAGTGAATGGAAAGTTTGCTAAACGGAAAATATAAGATTAATTGTTCAGATGATCTAATTGCATAAATATTATTTCTCACCATTATTTGTGGAATTTTTTGTTCATCATTTGTCGTATGACAGGCTAAATCTGAAGCCATTGAAATAAGAGTTTGTCTCGCTGCTCGATCATCTTTTATTATTTCTTCGTTTGATAATATTACTTCACTGTTTATACTTGATACATTCTCAGATATTGATGTCCCATTACTATGCGTCATTATATTTACAGATAATCTATTATCTGTGCTAACATTTGGTTGTCTATTGAGAATAGTGACTGCTCGTTGTTCTTCTTGTTGTAATGCTAACATAAACTGATTAGGATCATACCAAACCTCCGAACGTGGTCTTGGCTGTTGTTCGAGAATCGTGAACTCTTGTTGTTGAGGTTGTGATAATTCGTTATCATAAATTAATTGAGTTGTATTTGCTATAAATTGTAAACTTTTTTGAGATGGTATCGTTTGTTCTACTAATTTTTGAGTGATAGATGTGGTTATTGGTTCTGTTTGATGCCACGAATTTGTCAATGATAGTATAGACTGTGTTTGTAATATATGTTGTTCAGTAGTTTCTGCAATAATAAAATGATTATGCTAGAGTGTTTCAATAAAATTGTTTTCTTTTTTTCTTTTCTCACTCTGAACAGAAACAAGTACTTCTGGTTTTGCTGTTGTAGATGTTAAAATTGTTTGCGGTTGGTTAAGTCGAGCTGTTTCAACTGTCATCTGTATTTTATACTGTTGTACATATTGTTGATATATTTCAATTTTTCGTTCACAATCGTCACATACTTCAAATAAAATTGGTTTTTGTGTCGGATAATATTTACCTAAAAGAAAAGTTGAGTTTCATATGAGTGGAACATACTTTCGACACAATTAAACTTTACTATCATCATCAGCGTCGTCTTCTTCATTGTCTAGTGGATTTATCCATTGTTCTTTTTCAGCATCAGAATAGACATTTAATGATGTTGGTTCGGATAAAAAATTATATTGACATTGTTCACATAAATTAAGTTGATTAAAACTACTTGCTACCAAATTTAATTTCGACATATTCCATTTGATAAATCGATTCCATCTTTCATTTGCTTGTCGAACACGTTTTATTGTTTCATAATCTTCATGTAATCGACGTGGACATTTTGCTAGGACTAAATGTCGACTATGATCTTTTCTCAATTCATCTTGAAATCTTACTTCTCGTCTTTGTTGTTGTGATCGTTCTTTTGTTGTTTGTTCAATATTCGATAAAGCTTTCGAGATGAAAGGATTAAGAATAGCAGTTGTTTGGGATGAAATTGATGAAAGATTAATTTGCGGTTGTCTAGTATTTAATTGTTGTCGATCAGATAAATAATTAGATCTAATTTGAATAAAAGATTGAGGACGAGCATTTTGTAAACATAAAACATCAACATTTGACAAATTAAATTGATTTTGCTGTTCTTGTTGTACATTACTAACGATCGATTTTGATTTGTGTCGATGATTTTTTTTAGAATGATGTAAATTGGGCCTATCGGACATACAACAATAACCAATTGGACGTAAAAAATTGAATTGTTGTGCATAAATGCGACTATATTTCTTTCACTTAATCCTTTTTCTACTTAGAAAATATTATCGATCAATCATATCATAACATGAAAACAAATAAACAATTAAATATATATTTCTAAAAACGAAAATATGTCCAAATACTTAACATTAATAAATTAATTTTAATAGTATTTAAGTAACGAACGCGCCAGTTGTTTTTTTAATTCAATTTGATTTTATACTTTTTTCATTCTCTTACACAAGATGGTTTATTAAAGTTTCTAAGCTTCATAACGTCGCATATTTTGACGTTTACTAATGAGAAATTATAGCAAATAGAGAGACCTGTACTGTTTTAAATTCTTAATCTGTTTGATGATCGTTACTTACCTTCATTATAGGCAGTCTAGAAGAATAGTGAATTTAAAAAATTTTTAATGTACAAAATCCTTTACAAAAACAAACAGTTTTTCTATCATTGTGTTCATTCTTTGTAGGTATTATTTCGTGAGATATTTTTAACTATACTTGAAACTACAACAAGTTCATTTCGTCACAAATGGCTCGTTATTCAAACATTAGCAAAAATTTCTGCTGGTACGCTAAATGAGTTCGTTTTTTTTTGTTTATTTTAATTATAATATGAGATTTACTTTTAGATGCCCAAATTATTGTTGATTTATTTATCAATTATGATTGTTCAATGAGATCGGCAAATATATTCGAACGTTTGGTTATTGTTTTATCTCGTGCTGCTCAAGGACGACAAGCTGTTGAATTAGGTATTTTTTTGAATTTTATTTTTTTTTAAGATCTTAACAAAAATAAACAAGTACTCATGATCTATGTTTAGGTTGTAGTCAAGTTGAAGAACATAATCTTCGTATGAAAGGACTTGAATGTCTTGTGTCTATTTTGAGATGTATGGTTGAATGGTCGAAAGATCTATACGTAAATCCACATTTACAGAGCAATCTTGGTAAGAAAAATGTGAAATATTTTACCATTTTATAGTTGAAAACTTTAATTCTAGGACTAGATACGAAACCACTAAATGAAAATGGAGATCAAGATAGTGGTCGTTCATCATCAGGCGTAGGTGGCTCAATGAAACGTACTGATTCCGTTGGCTCTATCAATTCATCACATTCAAATAGTGGACTTTCATCTGAATCATCGAAGAATCCTGGTGATTATGAAGCTGTAAGACAGAGAAAAGAATTGTTTGAAAAAGGTTTTGATATGTAAGCTTAATAACTGGCTATAATTAGTTCTATTTAAAACAATTATTGTTTACTGCTTCAAGGTTTAATCAAGATCCAAAGAAAGGTTTACAATTTCTCATTGAAAAAAATTTAGTTAATCAAGAAGCAGAAGATGTAGCACAATTTTTTCATTCATACCAAGATGTTTTAGATAAAAAAGTTATTGGCGACTTTTTAGGAGAAAATAACAAGTAAGTTATTTGTAATAGACAGATGAGTTGTTGTTTTTTTAAAATATAAACATTATCATTTGTTTAACTCTTTTAGATATCATAAAGAAGTGATGTATGCCTATATTGATCAATTAGATTTTAATCAAATGGACTTTTTGACAGCATTAAGAAAATTTCTCGCCGGATTTCGATTACCAGGTGAAGCACAACAAATTGATCGTTTAATGGAAAAATTTGCTTCTCGTTACTGTGAATGTAACTCAAAGTATGATTTTCATTCTTCTTCTTGTTCTATTATATACCCTGTGAAAATCAGAAAGAAGATTATTTTTTTTTGCTTATCTATTTTTAGTCTTGAAATATTTGCTAGTGCTGATGCTGCCTATGTGCTTGCTTATTCTGTTATCATGTTAACAACCGATTTGCATTCAAAAAATGTAAATTCTAAGCTATTAATACATCATTTAGTAATTCATTAGATGATTTTAGGTAAAGAAAAAAATGACAAAAGAACAGTATATTAAAATGAATCGTGGTATAAATGAAAGTCGAGATTTACCAGAAGAATTTTTATCTAAAATATATGATGAAATAGCAAATGAAGAAATAAAATTAAAAACAACAACAACAGGATTAAGACGTGGAGCGGGTGTAGTTGGTACTAGTGGAGGTGTTGGTGGAAAAGTAGAAACTATTACCAGTGATAAACAACGTCAATTGTTATTCAATATTCAAATGAAAGATGTTGAAGTGATAGCACGTGATTTAATGTCGAATGCGGGAACTATTCGAGAATTATTTACAATAGCTAAACATCTTGAACATGTTCGTCCAATGTTTCAGGTAATATTAAATTACCTTATTTTAAATTCGAGTTTTTTTATTTCTTTTCTTTCTTTTTTATCTAACAGAAAGCGTGGTCTCCATGTTTGGCTGCCTTTAGTGTTGGTTTACAAGATACCGATTATATTGATTTAGCAATGCTTTGTTTAACTGGTTTAAGTTGTGCAATAAGAATAGCGTGTATATTTCGAATGGAACTTGAACGAAATGCATTTGTTCAAGCATTATCACGTTTTACACTATTAACAGCCACCTCTCAAGTAACAGAAATCAAAGCAAAAAATGTTGAATGTTTAAAAACGTTAATTACCGTTGCACAAACAGATGGAAATTATCTTGGTGAAGCATGGTATGAGGTTCGTATTGATAATTCTTCTTTAAAATAGATTATAGAAAGATGAATATGTTCATTTAGATCCTTAAATGTATTAGTCAACTGGAATTAGCTCAATTATTCGGTGTTAATGCTAATAAATCGCGAATGTCGGTTACTAATCATCATCATCATCAATATCCGTCCCAGTTATCGAATACAGCAACAACATTTAGTTTACCATTTGATAATCTATTTAGTAATGATAAAAGTAAATAGATATCAGATGATAGATGATATAAATGTACTATTTCGATGTCTGTTTAGGTCCACAAAATAAACGTCTACATTCTCTGAATGAACAAATTCAAGAAACAAGTTCACAAAGTATTGTAGTATCTGTTGATCGAATCTTTTCTGGTTCAGCACGTTTAGATGGAGATGCAATTGGTATGTTAACTCAATTTTTATCAAACATGTATTTTATATATTTTTTTCTTTTCTTTTCTTTATTTAAGTTGCTTTTGTTCGAAGTTTATGTCATGTATCCATGGATGAATTATATTCATCAACGCCACGAATGTTTAGTTTATTAAAAGTTGTGGAAATATCATATTATAATATGGGACGTATCCGTTTACAATGGTCAAGAATTTGGGAAATTGTCGGTGAACATTTTAATAAAGTAATTATGATGTTTTCTTTTCATAGATATCTATATTTAAATATTTATGTACTTTTTCTCATAGGTTGCTTGTAATCCATTGCAAGATGTGTCATTTTTTGCTGTTGATTCATTACGACAATTATCAATGAAATTTCTTGAAAAAGGCGAATTTCTAAATTTTCGATTTCAAAAAGAATTTTTAAAACCATTTGAATATATAATGAAAAAAAATTCGTCTGTATTCAATAGTTTAATTTGTATATATTATTTTAATTTCTTTTCTTTTATTTTTTATTAATTTAGTTCATCAACAATACGTGATATGGTTGTACGTTGTGTAACACATTTTGTTGATTCACAGGCAAAAAATATTAAATCTGGATGGAAAAATATATTTAGCGTATTTCAAATGGCGGCTGCTGATACTGATGCGAGTATTGTAGAACTAGCATTTCAAACTTGTACACAAATTATATGTAGGTTTCAAAGAAATTTTTATTAATTTTCATCAAAACATTTAATTATCTACTCGTTTAGGTACCGTATTTGATCGTCACTTTTCATCAATTCTTGATAGTTTTCAAGATGCTGTTAAATGTTTATCGGAATTTGCTTGTAATGCATCGTTTCCTGATACATCAATGGAAGCAATACGTTTGATTCGACAATGTGCAAAATTTGTAGCTGAAAAACCTCACGTTAGTTTTAACATAGTCTGTTTGATCAAAACATCTATGATATTGTTTTCTATTTAGATGTTTCGTGAACATGCCGGAGAAGATTTAATCAATGTTTCAGAAGAAGATCGTGTCTGGGTTAAAGGATGGTTTCCTGTACTATTTGAATTGTCGTGTATTATAAATCGATGTAAACTTGATGTAAGAACAAGGTATGAATACGTATACATTTAAATGAGAAAAAGAATCTAATGAAAGAATAGTTAATATCTTTCTTTTTTTCATCTAGAGCTTTGACAGTTATGTTTGAAATAATGAAAAATTATGGTGAAAGTTTTACTCAAAATTGGTGGAGAGAATTGTTTAATGTTGTATTTCGAATATTTGATAATATGAAGTTACCGGATACCCAAATTGAGGTGAGAGTTAAATATTCTAACATATAATGAATTATTTAACTAACTTTTATTGATATTGATAGAAAATTGAATGGATGACAACTACTTGTAATCACGCATTGTATGCCATTGTTGATGTTTTTACACAATTTTTTGACGATATGGCTGGTTCATTAATCGAAGATCTTTATTCACAGTTGAAATGGTGTGTTAATCGAGGTATTGGAATAAGAATATTAAAAAATGATCATTTATATTGAACAACATTTTTTTTTGTCGACTTTAGATAATGAACAATTAGCAAAATCTGGAACAAATTGTCTAGAAAATTTTGTTATTTCATGTGGTCAACGTTTTACACCAAAAATTTGGGAACGAACATGCGCGTGTATATTGGAAATATTTCGTTCAACATTGCCTGAAGTGTAAGTTTTTCATTTTCTAATATCTAAACATTTTATTTTTTTCCAAATGAAAATTATTTTCTATTTTATAGACTGATGACATGGCGACCTGACACAGATCCGTCAACAATGGCCACTATTATTGAAACAAGTGTAAGTAATTCTATATAGATTCATTGATAATGTAGTGTGAACATTTTCATATTTTTTAGTTGCTCGATCGTACAAATAGTTCGTTTGATTATGCAGCCGTTGAATCAGCGTCTAGTCAACATAATCGCTTACAACGTGCTGGTAGTGTTGCTAGTTTAAATAGTTCAGTATCAACTGAAGGTGGTGAACAAGAATTAAGACAACGTTATTCACCGGGTGGCAGTGGTGAAAGAACAAGTTTGTATTTTTATTATTTTAAGAGAAAATCGATGCTAAAAATCTATTTATTTTTTTTGTTTCAGGAGCAGGTTCAGATTATCGTCTATTTCAAATATTAACAATTAAATGTGTTGTACAATTAGAATTAATTCAAGCTATAGACAATATTGTATTTTATCCATCAACAAGTAAAAAAGAAGATTTACAAAATATAGCTGTCGCACAGGTTTGCATAATCATTTGTCTACTAAATTCATTTTTCTTGATAAAAAGTTTTGGTAATACTGTTATGAACAACAAATTTATCTTCTAGAAGTTAACGTGGTTCAAATCTAAGGTATTCATAAGCATAATAAATATCTTGTACCACTGTGATTTGTTTGCAATTTATAGATCGAATAAAAAATAAAATAAAAGACTTGTTAATAATCATTATCATTTGTCTATATTCTTCTGTATGTTTCTATTTGTTTTGAGTTTGAATCTGGTAACTGGATGATTATTATTTATTAGAAATGAAAATAGATTGTAGTTGAATAGGGCAGCAATTCTTACTTTGTAATCTAACTTAACTCCTATTATTATACTGTAGATTTCTATTTATAGGCATTGGCTTCTTGTGCACCAGGTCATCGTAGCCAATTTGTATTGCCCGATGAACCACGTGATGATCAAGGAATGTATCAATGCATGAATGTTGATCAATTATTATTATTAGTTGATTGTCTTGTTGAATCACATATGTTTGCTCGTACCTTTAATTCAAACCATGAACAGCGGAATTTACTATGGAAAGCTGGTTAGTTATTTTTATTTTAACTATCAATTGTTTTTCTTTTTTATTTTATTTTATTAATCATATTTTTCTATATAAATAGGTTATCGTGGTAAAGCTAAACCAAATTTACTCTTACAAGAAACACATAGTATAGCGTGTGCATTTCGTATACTATTTCGTTTATATAATGATTCATCTCGACGTGAATGTTGGGATACACTTCGACGAAGAATTATTAGGTACACATATAATGTAAAATAAATAGAGAAAACAAAATAACAATATTCATCTATACTTTAGACTTACACGTGATAGTATCGAATATTATTTAACATTACAATCAGAAAGTCACCGTGATGCGTGGACAAATGTACTCATTCTACTTTATTCGAAATTATTAAAACTTGATGACGAGAGAGTAAGTAGTCTTGTTGTATGTGTATTTTTATTGTTGTTTGTTGTACTGTCGAAAAACAGTTTTTTTCAAATTATGTACAAATCTTGCTTTATTCTTCTTTTAGTTCAAATTTTATGCATCCGATATCTATTCAATTGTAACTGAAGTAGTTGTATTTGATTTGAAACCAGAACTACGCTATATGATTCGTGAATTTTTTTTACGTGTTGGAAATATCTTCAATATCAATGACACATCATTATCACTATCATTACCAACAGCGTGAAATAATAAATTATTTTTTAATTTTTTTTTCGACACATTCCTCCGTATATTCCAATTAAACACATGTTGGCTAGTTTCGGCTGATATTTTCCAAAGATCTCTCGTTTTTTTTTTTATTAAAAATTGTGCAAGCACGTTTCGCCATTCTCTAATTTTTTCTATATACATCACAGTGATTACACAGTTTTATTTGTTGCTTTATTTCTCAATTTGTTATTTATTTGTTTCGATATCCAGTTTTAGGCAAATATCTCTCTCTCTCGTTTGTTGATGCTTTTATTTCTATATTTTTCTCAACGTAGTATAATTACATAAAATATGTGATTCAATTGTTGTTATTTTCTTCTCTTTTCACTTTTGATTTTATTGTAGAACTAAAGTTTTTTTTTGTCATCATTTATTTAAAATATATATGTTATGATGAATTTCAAACGTTCACTTCTCTTTCCTATAGATTTTATTTATTTTTTTTTGTTGTTGTATATATATCACATACAGACAGACTGTACTATATTTGATTTACTTATATTAACTAAAAATAAAATACAATGGAAACGTTTTTTGAATTTTGAATATTAAACGACAATTCAACATTGAATTTATTGTATATTCTTATTTGAAAGATGAAGCTTTCAGATTTTTATAGGAGAATTGTCTGAACGAATAGTAAAAAATGACAGCGATATCGAACAACAATGATATCGAGCTACAAACAAAATTTCATTGTTTTCAAAATAATTTCCGTCAAAATCTATTTAGCAATTAGTACTCTAGTAGATCATCACTACCGTTTTTCCAAAGTATGTAGAGAGTACGTTGAATGTAGAAAAAGTTGAAATATGTTTTTCAATTTTATATTCTATCGTCAAATTGTAAATTTTATTCATACAAAAATTCTCTTCTTTATTTTAAATTTGAGTTTAGTTTTGTGTTTACACAACCACTTAGACATCAACCATAAATCATATGATTACCTTTATGGCGAAAAGAAGTGAACAAATTATCGAGCTAGAGAGATGCGGACGCATGTCTGTGGAATGATCATGTGAATGTACCTAATAGGTACAAGAACGAATACTTTTGTGAAGTGATCTTAGTATTTAGGTGATTGGGTAATTACTTTCTATAATCGAGTACAATTTTTTTGGTATATTTAATGTGGCAATTAATCGCATAAATACGCGATCGGTAAATTTACTGGAAGTTTTACAAGTATCCAAACGGGTATTCTATTAGAACTCATTCAGTATTTTCTTCTGTTATAATCCTCTCTCTTTTCGATGCTATATGAAATACTTCGTCTAATAATGTAAATAACTGAGAGATGAATTCAAGTTGAAATATCTGATTTTTCTCATTTCGTATGATAAACTGGTAAAAGAATAAAAAATCGTTGCTTTCTATTGAAAAATAAAAATTTTCACTAGAGCAAATTGAATACAAATGCCGCTACATATTGAGGGAGGAAGAGGTTAATAAATAATCTCGTCGTCTGAAGGAAGAGTTTAAAAAAATTGTTCAGATGATTTACGAATAATGTCTTATCGATTTTGGACATTCATACACTCTTTTTCTCTTTCTTTCTATTTTTTGTTTAAAATATTAAGATCAGAGTGCTCTCATTCTGTTTACTCTTTTTCTTCAATTTAACTATATATTTAACTACTTATTGATTTTAATGCACATAGTATTATCTAATCTATTTTTTGTTTTTTATTGTTGTTTAGGTAGAGACTGTCTCAATCGCTTTCTTTCTGAGGATATTGAAACTGGATCATTTGACTAAAGACGAAGTCAGTTTGTTTTAGATTAGGATCTGTTGCTTATGCTATAGGTAGAAACAGAGAGTTAAGAATACAAGAATGTATGATTTCAAATTGGAATTTAATTTTTTAGATCAATGTTCGGTGTCAATTCGTTCACCGCTATTAGTGTCCGATGTTTGAAACAAGTAAGTTAAGCGGATTTTTTTTTATCGAACGTTTATATCCGCTTCCTTCCAGAGGTGGGTAAGATCCAGTCCGAACTGATAAGCTTCTTTCTAACCGGACTGAGACTCATTATTTTCGTGGACGTGACTGCTTTTTCAAATCAATCCTTCAACTTTTAGGTTTTAGTGTAGAGAAACATCTTTGATATAGGCATTTCGGTAAAAAGATACAAAACAAAACATGTAATCACGAACTAAATGAACGAATGAACGAAATGAACGAATGGGAAAAAATTTCTGGCTCGAACGGATGTTTATAGGACCGAGACTGAACTGGTGCTTAGACCCTAGCAGACTGAAACTTGACTCGAACTGAACAACAGAGAATTTGCCCATCTCTGCCTACTTCATCATTTTGTACTTTTAGCATTTAAAAAGAACATTATCAACATCCTCATCGAATACACAACCAAAAAAAATTTATAACAACATTTATGAGATTGTTCAAGATATTCCACATGGAGCCAAAATATTGGTAGGTGGATTTGGTTTGTGTGGTATACCTGAAAATTTAATTCGTGCGTTACTGAAAACAGCACAAAGAGATTTGACAATTGTTAGTAATAATTGCGGCATTGACGACTTTGGTCTTGGGTTGTTATTAAGAACAAAACAGGTATTTGTAAAAACTAGATAATTTTTTACGTTGTTATAATTCAATTTTTCTTCAAAGATTAAACGTATGATATCGTCATATGTCGGCGAAAATCAAGAATTTGAAAGACAATATTTGAGTAAGTGAATAAAGAAATATGTTTTCACGTAAAATCTTACAGTAATTCAAATATGTTTATAGACGGTGAACTCGAAGTGGAATTAACACCACAGGGCACTCTTGCTGAAAAAATTCGAGCTGGAGGTGCAGGTATTCCAGCCTTTTTTACTCCAACAGGTTTTGGTACCCTTATTCAGCAAGGCGGAGCTCCTATTAAATACGATGGTACTTCAAAACGTATTGCTATTGAGAGTGCTGCAAGAGAGGTAGAGATAAACTTGAAAACTAATTATACAAATAGAATGCTCTTTTCTTTTTCTTTTACAGACGCGAATATATGATGGTAGACAGTATGTGTTAGAAGAAGCTATTACCGGTGATTTTGCATTAGTGAAAGCATATAAAGCAGATAAATCTGGAAATCTTATTTTTCAGTATGTACTATACTACAAATAATTTGATTCTCTATTGACCACTTCTTTTTTGTTATAGAAAAGCAGCGAGAAACTTTAATGCTCCTATGTGTAAAGCAGCTAAATGTACAATAGCAGAGGTATATATATTAGACAATGAATAAAAATATTATTTTGAACTCAAATCGTTCATGTTATAGGTAGAAGAAATTGTTGAAATAGGAGATCTGAAACCTGATGAAATTCATGTGCCAAATATTTATGTACACCGCATCATAGTTGGAGAAAAATATGAAAAACGAATTGAAGTAAGTTTATGATTGATTAATTGGTTTAAGATATAGTTTCGCGTTGTGTTTAGCGCCGAACAGTAAGAAAACGGGATGGTAAAACCGCGTCACCCGTTTCATCGAAGAAAAAAGATGATGCAACACGAGAAAGGATAATACGTCGTGCAGCACTTGAATTCACCGACGGCATGTATGCTAATCTTGGCATTGGCATTCCAGTAAGTTGATCATCATTCACAAACAATACACTTTTTTGTAAGACATTCTGAATATTTCAATAGATGCTAGCATCAAATTACATTCCAGAAGGTATTCTTGTTAGTTTACAAAGTGAAAATGGAATCCTTGGATTGGTAACAAAACAATTCAATAAATTTATGATTTTAACTTGTTTTTATACGCGTTTAGGGTCCGTTTCCATACGAGGGCGAGGAAGATCCAGATTTGATAAATGCCGGCAAAGAAACAGTGACAATTCTTCCTGGTGCATCTTACTTTTCCAGTGATGATTCATTTGCTATGATTAGAGGGTACAATGTTAAATAAATAGAGTTGTTTACAGTACATTTCAGTTATTTTTATGTAGAGGACATATCGATCTTACCATGCTTGGAGCAATGCAAGTGTCGCAATACGGTGATCTAGCAAACTGGATGATTCCGGTATATTAACAACAATCACCACTCTTTTCATACGTAATGTCACTTGTTTCTATTTATAGGGGAAACTTGTCAAAGGTATAATTTATTATAAGTTACTAAGCATTCCAATACAATAATTTTATTATGTAGGAATGGGTGGCGCGATGGATTTAGTAGGATCTGGTCGTACAAAAGTTGTTGTCACTATGGAGCATAATGCCAAAGTAGGTTTTTAAAACAGACGCGAAGTAGACTTTTAAACAACATTTTCTTGTCTAGGACGGTTCTCCTAAAATACTGAAATCCTGTAACTTACCTTTAACAGGAAAAAATGTTGTAGACCTAATTATAACAGAAAAGGTAAATATACTAGTATTTTAATAGAAATTTGTTGTAATATTTCTTATATTTTGTTAGTGTGTATTCGAAGTTGACCACAAGAAAGGTTTAACTTTAATAGAAATAGCGGACGGTTACACTACCGAAGATATTGTAAAGTTAACCGGATGTCCGATAAATGCAAGTTTAAGCGTTGTTTTAACTCATGAATGACGAATGTACAATTAGATTTTTTTTTATCTTCTAGATTGTAGATAACCCTAAGCCAATGCAACAAGTTCCAATAAAAGCATCTACCAAACAATGATAGAATGAAATTTAGACTGAATTTTGTTTTTGATTGGGTTTTATTAGATTTGTAATGAAAGTGTGTACTTTTCTTCTGATCCAGATTTTGCTTGTCCAAAAATTGTCTTATTATTTTTATATAGCTGTGTGGCAGATTTGCGTTTTATTTGAAAAATAAAAAAGAGGACTTGACTATGCATTATTCAATTGTATAGTTGTTTTGGTACTATACATTATTTCATTCATTAGTCTCTGAAGGGATTAAATCTATTGCAATTGAGTACGCTACAACATAGTAACTACAATGTCCCAATTTACCTGTACTCTTAGTTCGACATCATGAAACTCTGTCGAAAAGAGAAGTTAATTGGTAAATCTTTTGTGTCATAATATGAAAATAACATATTAGATCTTTTATGCTTTAACCCTTTCACTGCCACAGGGACACATATGTCCCAAACAACGTCTAAACAATACCTATGGGAAATGAAAGCACTAAGAATTTTTCTACTTTCGTTCTTTTTTTTCTTCTACATGCGCTACATGTGGATAATGGTTTAGAACAATGAATTTCTGGTATATCGATGACTAAATAGATCAAGAAAGGACTTCATTTTCAGAAACCTCGATCATAAAATAGCTGTATTCCACTGACCATTATTAGTGGGGCAGTTTAGTAATAGTTTAACACCCAATATCCGACTATAATTCCGATTAGAGAAAATCTTGATCCAAATAGAAATGAGTCATCCATCCAAGACAAATGTTCTGTGATGACGTCAGTACATTGTAGTTATTACTTTTTCATACTTTAAAAAAGTTAACCATATTATGAGATATCATTTATCAAGTTTAAAAATTAAATTTTCATCTATTAGAACAAATCTCAGACCAAGATCAATAAATAAATATAATATCCACCATTGGTCGACGTGCTGGCTAATGACAAATAAGTTCGAAAAATCATGGTCGACGCAAAAACAAACAAGCAAATACAACGTTGAGTTTAGTGCGATCCATATGAATATAAAAAACAATATTGATTATTCGAGAGAAGTGATTATACCGTAGGAATAAGAATAAGTGGCATTCTTTATTCATTATCTAGTTTAATAGAATAACGCATACTTTTGGGGGCACTGAGTCCTGTCTTTGTATTAGCTCCATCCGCGGTTCGGTGTCGAACTTATATCTCTTTTATTCTTTGTAAACTTGATTATTGTTGTACCTTGTATAATAGTTCGTTTTCTCTTTCTATTCTAGATTCTGTAAACAAAACTTGCTTCTCATATTATCTCTCGTAATTTTGACTACCGTTCTTCTAGCTCTTCACTTGTGTCACACCTGTCTCTTCGAATTCTGTCACTTCGTCGTAAATATTTTCGGATGGTGCCGTTTTTCAAAATTTATCATCATCGTAGTCCTCTTTCCATTTTCTATACTGTGAATCATTATTCTTCGTTACGTTATCATCATTCCAAATATGTTTGTATTCTATCTCTTGTCCATGGTTTTTATTCACAAACCATTTCTTCCTTCTTTTATTAAACAGTTACTGACTGGAATAAACTCCCAGAATTACTTATTCATTCATCTTCTTTATCGTCATTCAAAATAGCTCTATCTCAATATCTTTATAGCAGAACTTAACCCCATTTACAGTTATAAAACAAGCTCAGTGCTGTTACTTTGTTTATTTGTTTTTATTCTGTTTTATCTCTCTTTACACGCTAGTCTTTTACTTTTCGTGAATAAATTAATCTTAGTCTTAAAGCATACTTATAATGACGTCATTTTCTTACTTAGGTTGATATAAAGACAATCTTCTCTAAAGTTTACCTTTTATTCTGAGTTTTAGATTAGAACAGTGGGAATATAGAATCATTTATATCAAATAAATAAATTCAACTAGAACAATTAGCAACGATGTCTTATAATGATAATTTTAACGCATTTGAAGAAGATCCAGCTGCGGAATTTCTTGAACGAGAAAAACGTGAACTGGGCGATTTAACTGCTGATAATGATATAAATGAAACTTATAGTCCATTTATGGATAATGTGACTGAAGTAGGAGGAAGTAATACGACGGAAGAGACGAATGCAGGTTTTGGACGAAATAGTTTACTAACAAATGGTAAGATTATGTTGTATTCTTTTAGAATGACGAAAAATCAGAAAATGGAAGATCGAGGAAATCTTTTTCAGCTTTGAGAGAGAGAGAAACTTATTTTTACTTTTAAATGTATGTGAGCTCTTTTTAGGTTCTCATTCACCAATGGGTGGTAGCGTTTCACCATTGTCTCATACAAGCGCTCGATCAGAGACACCTTCAACATCGATGATGAGTGGTCATGGTAATTATTCAGTATTATCTCAATTAGATGAGCAACAAAATGAGCCGGAAAAAATAAAAAAATGGCGTGAAGAATTTCAACAGCGTATTGTTAAAAAAGATGCTGATGAAGAAACAAAAAAAAAAGAAATGAAAGAACAAGCCAAAAAAGAATTAGATGATTGGTATAAAAATCGTTTAGAACAAATGGAACGTGTAAAAAATCAAAATCGAATGAATAATCGTACAATGGAAGATGAATTATTCCATAGTGGTAATGAATCCTCATCAACAATGGCAAATGGTAATAATGATAAACGTATTAATGATTGGGATAAAATAACATCATTATGCGAATTTAATCCAAAAAATATTCGTTCGCAAAAAGATCTTACTCGTTATCGATCATTATTATTACAATTAAAACAAACACCAATTAATAAATAAAAAAAAATAAATACGCAAACATAGCTCGTTTGAATAGAACATTTTTTACAACAATTTGATTTTTTTCCATTTTTTTTCTATTTATTAGCGATTCTCTTTTCATTTTTTGTCTGTTCGTAATAAGTTCTGTTTGTAACCGACAGTTATCCCACATTTTTTCCATGTAGCTAAATGATCTTTGTGTCTAACATTATTAAAGGACATCTGACTGTGTAGCCGGGGTTTTTTTTTCCTAATGCTAAGTATCATCTCTTTTTCAAAATGTGCATTATCTCATTTTTCTTTTTGTCTTTGCTAGATCATTTATTTGTCTGTGTGTGTGGATATGTTTGCAATTTCATTCCATGAGAAACATTCGAATTTGTGCTTTTATAAGAGAAAAGCTTTTTCTTCTACGCACACACCTGTCTAACTAATTCTTCAAAATTACTTTTATTCTGTCGATTTTTTTCTCAGCACACAGGTGTTTCTCATGGTGAGAGAAGAGATATTCATGGTAATGCTTTTTGTTTGTTCGTCCGTCTTTTTTTTTCTTTGTCGATGTTTTCGCTCTCTCTCTCTCTCTAAATATATCATTCACTGATCGTACATACGTTCGTATAGATTGTTGTTTTTATTTTATTGTTGTTATATATCTCTATTCTATTAATTAACTGTAACAGAAAATAAATATGAAAAAAAATTCAAATAAAAATGTATCTTTTTTTTTGATTTGGAGTTCATGTCACTTCCAGATAATAACAGATATCAACATTTTCACTAGGAACAATTTTGTCGCATTCTTTCAAAAACTATGTTCTTGACTCTTCTTAAGTCTTCAATTAAGTCTATTTGGTTTTAAAGAAAGATCATAAAAAACGTTCAACTTAAATGAGAGACAAAAGTGGTGAGCATTGTGTACAAGTAGAAAAAAGAGTTGTGTTTGTCATTGAGTGAAATATGACAAGATGCCAAATGCCGATGGTTAACGTTGAATTTTGATTAATATATAATGATTACTACCCACCGAAATTATGGTTCTTGACTGTTTTCAATTAGGGTGAAGAGACTGAAATTTTAACGGACAATCAGTAGTCCAAACAAATGGTGAACGAACAGTAGACAGTAAGAAAAATATAAACAATTTAGCAATCTAATAAATTATTTTTTAGGCCGAAAAATCTTCAACTTTCACAGCATACACTAACTAGATTGTGCACGACGTGAGTATACGCAACAACAAAGACAAATCTTGTCGCTGTTTGTTGTCAGTAGTTATCTAAAGGGATAAAATACTAAAACCCGACGGTAAAGCAGTAGGAAGAAGATAAGATAGGATAAAGTAAAGAACTACTGTATACATATTAGCTTCAATATGTATATAGATAATTACATCAAAAGAAAAAGACAAAGAAAAGAAAAGGAAGTTATAAAAATGTTCATAATTTTCTCATTGTTGCGTGATAATGACCTAAGAATAGGTTGAAAGTCTTGCATCTGATGTTGTTTTATATTGATTCTGTTAGAATTTATAAAATAAAGTGAAATAAAAAGGGATAAAATACTTTGTGTTTACTTTATTTCAGAATATCTCTATATGTTGTGATTAAATCACAAGCCATGAGCGTTTTTATCAAACCACTGACACGCATCACAACTTCATCCTATTCATCATCCGCGATATTTTCAAGATGTTTGTGTCCTGTAGTTGGTAACGTTTTCACTCAGTGTAGGTAAAATTTTCCACACCATGTTGTTTGATAATAAATCAATTTTTTCTATATGGTTTTAAAGATGAAATTCGACGAAATGCAGGACACGCTCATTGGCAAAATATAGCAAAAACAAAAGCAGCAAATGATCAAGCAAAATCAAAACTTATTGGAAAATTATCGTATAAAATTGGTGTTGCTATTCGCTGTATGTTTATTATTTATTTACCGTTGTTTATTTTCTTGCAACAATTAGCATATTACTTTTAGCACAAAATGGTCAGACCAATCCAGATTATAATCCTATGTTAAGAAACGTTTTAGAAGAATGCCGAAGAAGTAATATGACAAAAGAAACAATGGAACGATCAATAAAACGAGCAGTATCACAAAAAGAGAATGCAAAACCAAGTACATTTGAATTTCTTGGTCCAGGAAGAGTCTACTGTATCATTGAAGCAATCACTGATAATCCGAAAAGAACATTAAATCAGTTGAATAAAGTGGCAGCAAAACTCGGGTATAATTCATTTTTGATTACTATGTTTTTTTAAAGATCTGTTTTGTTGTACTTTTAGTATTATGAAAGTGAGTACATCAGGACCATTAATGGAATATTTTGATCATCGTGGATATGCATGTGTGGATAAATCAATATTTGATGAAGAAAAGGCAACAGAATTAGCGATTGAAATTAATGCTGAAGAAGTGACCACAGGGTACGATGACAATATGAATGAAGCATGGAAATTTTTAGGACCACCAACATTTTCGACACAAATGAAAACATCATTAACCGAACGTGGATATAATGTGGTATCAGATGGAGCTGAATTTATTCCAAAAGCATTTGTGGCTATAGATGATACGTGTCGAGCATTACTTCAAGAAGTCATTAAAACTTTTGAAGAACATGAGGAAGTTCAAGGTGTTCATACGAATGCCACTTAATATAAGAGTCTTTCTTTTCGTGTGTACTGTCAGTGAGATAAAAATACAATTTGTTTAGTTTTTTTGTTGCTTTTGCATTTCATATTTTAAATCTATAAAATTTGTTGTAGAAGAAATAAATTTAAAAAAACATCCGGTACGATCTTTCTCGTTAGTAAGAGAAAATCAAGCAGGATATATGCTTTAAAAATATTATCTACGATCACTAGTTAATATATCGATCTTTGTAAAAAAAAGATGTGTTATCAAAAGACTATACGTTAGTTAACATTGTTTGATAACTTTAATTCACAAATATGTAGCAAAAAAGAGATTATTCATTCGTTAGACTATAAGCGCTACACATCTGTGCTATCAGCGAGATCTTTCGTTTACAAGTTAAATTATGAAAGATATTAATTTTATTGGATTTTGAGATTAAATTTCTATTTATTTCTTGTAAAGCAACAAATAAGTTTTATCTAATTTTGTTATACACAAAGAATACATAATTTTTGTTTTTTTAAGACAATATGATGTGCACATTGCTGTCTGGTATTAGACATATCCATCATCTCCTGTGTAGATAATGAAAACGTTCATTATTTTCTTCTAACACTCGATTCTGTTGTCGGTGTCAAAACAACTGAGATTAAAACGTTTTAACATATAATGTTCAAAGATATCAAACATACTATTTGCTTGTTTACAAAATTATACTTGTACATATACATCTTTAAGTTACATAGATATATTTGTCTACTAGTGAATAAATTGAAAGTGATGCTTATCTAATAAATGATATTTTTGTTCGATCGAAACTAATGAAATATATAGATTTTTCCATATTATTAATATTTATGCAAAATGTTCAATACAATGGTGTACATCTAATAATCATATTCAAAGTATTGTTATTGCTATTGTTATTTATTTTTACGAAAGTCGATTTGACGATCGGAAAATATTTCACATTGAAATATGTGAAAAAAATAGGTTAATGCTATTAGTGGCTACTTATCAACCAGATGTAATTATTGATGAATTTAATTCTAAAAGTAATAAGATAACAGTCAAGAGATTAAATTGAATCGATAAACAAAAACTTTTAAATGTACTGCATGAGTAATTCCAGATATATAAATGTACAAAAGCCATACGTATATAAATAACGAAATGAAGGCTGTTAGTTTTACTGCACGAGCGTATGCAATGGGCCCCTGTCGTTAAAATCTATCGCTACTACCCATGGAAAAAAGTGAATAAAATAGAACGGTCAAAAACGCCTTTTTTAAAAGAATAAAACTCACCCAGAAGGACACTTCCTTTTAGAACGCGTTCTGAGGGCACAAGTTGCAAAAAAAACGCGTTCTCACAGTCATAGAATACGTTCGAACGAGTCTTATTGATTAGGAACGCGTTTAATGGGAACGTGCTCGTCGTGTTCTTGACAAGCAACGTTTCCTTTTTAGTAGGAACGCGTTCTAACGCATTGCTTTCTTTTTTGTGCAATGCATTCCTATTAAAAAGGAACCGTTGCTTCTCAAGACGAACATCTCATTAAACATGTTCCTAATCTATAAGGCCCGTTTCTTAGAGGACGCGTTCGAACGCATGCTTTGGTGATCGCGTTCTATGACTGTGGGAACGCGTTTTTTAGCGAAAAGTGCCTTCAGAATATGTTCTAGAAGAACGCTAAGTGTCCTTCAGGACGCGATTCAAATTTGAACCGTCTTTGACCGTTCTATTTTATTAACCTTTTTTCATGGGTATACTGCTGTTCGGTCAAATTTTAACAGAAGCTGACTCCACTAAGAACTACGATAGTTCTGTTAATAAATGGGTCGACTAGTTCTTATAAGGATATTCAAGATTGAGTTTTTGTGTTATCATTTAATAAAATAATTTATGTTCAAGATTTGAACACGCTACTGATGTCCAGTTATAATAGCAATAGAGTACTTCGGGGTAATCAGAGACACTCTTTGAAATTTTCGTTCTCTTTTTTTGCTATTTCTTGGCCGTTTTTGATCGGAAAAAGTTGCTATTGAACAAAGTGGTAGATCGAACATTTTCCTACACGCACATGTAAAAATCTTTTGAAAATCTCCGACCAGTTTTGAGCCAGATCAAAAATGCAAAGAGCTCTAACAAAGTATTTACCCTGTATGGGTACTCGTGTAATTTCTTTGGGATAAATAGAGACACTCCATTGAAATACACAAGATTCTCAGAGACAAACGTCTACCATCTCTCAAAAGCTGAATTTAGTATTATACCAAGTGACAAAGTTCTTCAGAATCCTGAACTCTATCACATATGTGAAGATTAGCTAATTATTCCAATGGATAAGCTATCATAGCGGTTTCACATTACATAGGATATTAATTTGAATATATTTTATGGACTAAATTAAATTTCATTTTAAAATTCATTCGATAGAGGAGATGCTTATGTAAGCCATAAACAGAAGATTTTATAAAAACTGTCCGTCTCTAGTTATCATCATTAAATTTAAATTTAATTTAGTCCATAAAATATATTCAAATTAATATCCTATGTAATGTGAAACCGCTATGATAGCTTATCCATTGGAATAAT